TTGGTCAATGACATGAGACAAAGTATATGTGAACTGCTGTATGAAAAGTGAATTTACTCTGTAAATCTTCACCCACATCAAAATAAAATTAAAAAAAAAAAGTTAAACCCATATTTATTTACTAGCATTACTAAACATTACACAAAACATTCAAGTGGCAAGTAATTATAATGCAAGCCCTTGCATGGCAATCCAAAGTTATTGAACTACTGATGCTAAGTTATACAAAACTGCACCACTTTAATTAAGGCTTTTAGTTTACATTTGGCCACCTCCAAGTAGCTGTAACATTAGGTTGGTCAATTTAAATACTGTGGCTCCCTGTTGAATATAGATGACCATATAATCCAACAATTCCACTCGACTAATACACGCAGAAATGAAAACATCAAAAATCATACCTCACAGCAACATCATTTGTAGTGAACCAAAAAATAAAATAATCCAAATATCTATTAATTATGGACAAATGGATAAGCAAAATGTGGTGTTATCTACACAATGGAATGTTACTCAGCAATAATAAGGAATGATAATACTACAACAGAGATGCACTTTAAAAACACTAAGTGATAGAGAAGGCAGTCACAAATGATCACATTATATGATCTCATATGAAATAATCAGAAAAGGCAAATCTAAAGAGACACCAAATAGATGCGTGATTGCTTAGGGCTTACCAGGGCAGAGCTGGGTGGTGGAGGAAGGGAGAGAATGAAGAGGGGCTGATAATGGGTATAGGGTTTCTTTTGAGGATGCTGTAAAGTTCTCAGATTTTAGTGATGGTTGCACACTAAAAACCACTGACTCATAACACTTTAAACAGTTTGTGAACTTTATGATATATATTGCAATAAAGCTATTAAAAATTATCAGTCCACCACAAGTGTCCACTGTGCCCTGATGGGACTGTGGGAGAAACGAAGTCTGTGTGGTTCCACCTTTCAGATTCCAGCATGGCTGGGAATGCAAACTAACACCAGAAGAAAGCAAATGAAGGGCTGAGGACCAGGATACACCTAGGTATTTATAAAGTCAGAGAAGGGGGACCTTCAAGGAAGAAGTTATCTGTTCCTTAATTGATAGGCAGGGAAGAAATAATCAGACAAAAGCAAGGATATGAAGAAAACTTTGATCAGGATATGAGTTAAATAATGAGATGATTTCTCTTAGGACTGATCTACGGACACTAGTACAAACTTCACCATGCAGAGATTTCTAAAGTCAGTATTTATGTCACATCTTAAGATCAACGTTCGCCAAATGGTACATGAATAGGATTGAGAAGCAATCTGGCACTGTCTAGATGGAAAGATTTTAAACCTAGACTTTAGGTATGGGTCCCTGGAGCCTCGCTAGAACACATTCTTTTCTAAAACGTGACAGATGGGGTGGGGGGTGGGGCAGTGAGTAGGAGACCAGAGTTGAGATTAAAGCAGAGTCGATACAGGATCTTTAGATAACTAAGTTGGAGGCCTAGTTTATCTTCTTAACCATCTTAGCACATTCACATCTCTCCTGCACACACCCACAGTACATTTTTTTTATGTAGTGTGTGTCAGGTTTCTCCACTGTAAAGTTACTCTATTTCTTCCCCCTTTCCACACTGTACACTTTGGAAGAAAGTCACTATGGGTAGCCCACGCTGAAGGATGGAGGAGTTATGATCCAACTCAAGGGTGCAGAATCTACATAAATTATTTGTAACTGGCCTGCACAGGAGTTTTGTCTATTCTCCCTCATTTACTTATTCAATCATGTATTTACATCAGTATGGACTCATGGCTATTTACTTTTTTCTTTGGCTTATAATCCAATATTACTATCTCTGTTTTGTTGCTCCAATTGTTCCAGCTTTGGCCATTGAGAGCTCTTTCTGCTGGCCAGTTAATTTTTCAATGCTAATACATTCTTGAAATTTACTTGAACCCTCAAATCTAAAGTATAACTCATTGCAAAAACTATAGGAGTGCAATATTAGATGATACACTCGAAATTAGAAATGAGTATATGGACCTTAGGAAAACAACTCTCCTCCAGGGCCCTCTGTAGCCATTTACAAATCCTCTAGTTTTATCATCATTGTCTTCTGTTGACCTGTGCATTTTTCTTTTATGGCACAAAGAAGCTGGTGATAGTTAATCCACTGAGTCAATCATTACTGGCCTGTTACTGTTTCAGAGTATGAAGGTTAAGCTAAAGTTGAGGTCACCTACCCTTTTCCAAGCTAGTTCATCCAAGTTACTGCTGGCTGGTAAAACTGGACATACTATCAGGCTAGTAACAGTAGCATCTGCCATTTGTTGAGAGCTCCCTATGTATGTGACTCAGTGCTAAATGCTTCATGCATATTTTCTAACTATCTCTATGTCATGTATAAGGAAACAGACACAGAGTTTAAGAAATTTCCCAAAGTTCACTTACTACCCAAGGACAAAGTAACATGATTGGGATGTGTGTACTAAGGGCTCCCAAAGCCTATACTCTTTCTTGGCTATATTATAAACCTGTGCTGCATACTGAAAGGAATGTGTGTTTAAATCTCAGCCGCCTTGACTATGTCACCTTGGGAAAGCAATCTGACCAAAGCAGAGATGACACTTGTATAATAGTATAAGGTTATCATGAGGATATAGCAGGCTCTCCAACAAATGGAATCAGTTGTTTTTTGTTCCTTCTCTGAAATCCATACAATTTTGTTGAGGGGAAGGAGGAGAATGGCGTGAGGAATTAAATTTATAGGGTAGAGAGTCTGTGCAAAGTAATGCCACTCTAGGAGACAGGTTCAACGATGTGCCCAAGGTCCTCCAGCCACCTGGAAGATAGAGCCTAGACTTACATCCATGTCCACCTCGTTCCAAAGGAAGTCCTCTTTCCTTATTGCACCATACCAATTTAGCATGGGTTGGAACCCAGACTTCTTAAACTGAAAAAGGGGAAAAAGATACTTCATACATACAAAATCCAGTCCTTTCAATTTGTTCCTTCTGCGCTCCCTTGCAGAGGGCAACTGAGATGGCAGAGGCAGGGCATCATCTTCGATGGCAGGATATGTCTCTCCATAAGCACCTGAAAGGATCACAAAATGGAGTAGTCTTAAACTTGCACCATTTCAATTTTTTTTACCCAGCGCTAAACCAAGAGCTTATTTTTAATAGCTTTACTAATACATTATTTGCATACTATAAAATTCACCCCCTGTAAGTGTACAGCCCAGTAGATTAGAGTTATGAAATCATCATCACTACAATCCATCCGACTAGATGAAGGAAAACGTGGCATCGGCATGGAAGAAGGAAGACTCATTAATAACCTTTGATATGCAGATGACACAACCTTCCTTGCTGAAAATGAAGATGACTTGAAACACTTACTGATGAAGATCAAAGACTACAATCTTCAGTATGGATTATACTTCAACATAAAGAAAACAAAAATCCTCACAAACTGTACCAGTTAGCAACATCATAATTACTGGAGGAAAAAATTAAAAGTTGTCTAAGGTTTCATTTTACTTGGATCCACAATCAACACTCACAGAAGCAGCAGTCAAAAAATCAGATGCTGTACTGCACTAGGCAAATCTGCTACAAAAGATCTCTTTAAAGTGTTGAAGAGCAAAACGGTGTCTTTGAAGACTAAGGTGTGCCCAATCCAAGCCATGATATTTTCATTTGACTCATAATAATGTGAAAGCTGGACAATGAATAAGGAGGACCAAAGAAGAATCGATGCCTTTGAATTGTGGTGTTGGCGAAGAATATTGAAAATACCATGGACTGCCAGAAGAATGAACAAATCTGTCTTGGAAGAAATGCAGCTCGAATGCTCCTTAGAAGCAAGAATGGGCAGCCTTCATTTCACCTACTTTGGTCATGTGGTCAGAGGGACCAGTCCCTGGAGGATGTCATGTATGGTCAAGTGGAGGGTGAGAGGAGAAGGGGGAGACCCTCAAAGAGCTGGGCTGACCGCGGCTGCCACGATGGGCTCAAGCACAGCAAGGATTGTGAGGCTGGCACAGGCCCGGGCAAGTTTGTTCTGTTGTACATGGGGTCACTACGAGGCAGAGCCAACTTGACGGCACCTAACAAGAAGAAGAAGAAGGAAGTCTGATTCTCGGAATTAGTCCATTTCATCTAGGTTATCTAATTTGGGGCATACAATTATTCATACTACTACATCCAGTCCCCAGGTTACAAATGAGATCTGTTCCCAACTGTGTCTTAAAGAATTTGTAGGTCAGTTGGACCAAGTGCATACAGTTCTTATTTAGCTTTAGTGCAACAAAGGAGCTCTGGTGGCACAACGGTTAAGGCATGTCAGCTGCTAACCAAAAGGTTGGTGGTTTGATCTCACCAGCCCCTCCTTCAGAAAAAGATGAGGCTGTTTGCTTCCATAAAGATTTACAGCCCTGGAAACTCTCTGGGGCAGTCCTACTCTGTTCTGTAGGGTCTCTATGAAATGAAATTGACTCGATGGCAATGGGTTCAGTTTTGGTTTCAGTGCCAGAAAAGGTTCAAAGTTTTTCAATGATTTAAAGCTATATATGCAGCAAGAGATGGTGACAGTAATAAAGAACTTGTCAGTAGGAGCTGGTTCAATCATTTCACAGTGACAGAAAATTTACATAAATATAAAATGGATTTCGAGCTGAAACAGGGCTGCCCTGCTCAAAGATACTAGCACCCTGCTGAAAGATGGCACACTCCACTCAAGGATGGTGGCAGATTGCACCACTCTGAACATGTGTGGCCAATAATCTAACCTCACACATCAAGCCCCTGAAAGGACTCACTGTACTTCTTCAGAGTCTCCATTCCAGGGCTTCAACCTGTATTTTTCCTATTCCGGTTACTGTAATCAATCACCCAAATTGTAAAAATGCCAATCTGTTCCTATTTCACTTTGTCGGCCATGACAAAACTGCTTCAGAGCCCTGCACCAAAGGACAAGAAGGGGCTATCCACAAGTCAGATGTTCATAACCAAAGCACTGCTTATATTATATTCTTCCAATCTGATCATTATTTGGGTTTCCACAGAGATGATTTCTCTCCCTTCATCTTGTTCACTTGAATGGGCTATCATTTGCAGTTTCTGTGTGTGCCTTGTAATTTTTTTTGTTGAAGCCAGGATATTAAAATTTTACAAGGTTTTAGATTCCTCAATTTCCTTGAATGGCACTTTCAACAGCACTAATTTCTGCAAAAAACTCTTAGGCAGGCACAGCCTTCAGACTTCGCTTACTCTCCCTCTTTCCTGTGAAATCTCCAGGTTAGGCCAAACCAACCTTTCAGTCCTTCAGAAGCTCCCAGACAGATCAGAAAACACAATAATCAACCTCCCCGAAGAGGTCACAACCTTCCGTCTCTGGTTACCATTCCCTCTCCTGCTCTGTGAAGCCTCAAACTCTAGCTAGACTGAGGTTTCAGTCTTTTAATGGCTCCCAAACCAATCAGAAAACACACACTGATTATCAGGCGAATATAGCCCTCAGTCCTTGGTCACAGCTCCTTCCCTGTTCTAGGAAGGCTCCTATTCCAGCCAGACTAAGGTTTCAGTCTTTCAGACCACCTCCAGACCAGTCAGAATACATACTCTGAACAGTCTGCTAGCAACATCTGTCCTATTAATTTCAGAAACAGAGATGGGCCCTTTCAGAGCACACAAGAGAGTCCTACATTGGCTGGGGGCATGGCTATGGCAGAGCCGCAGCCACGTGTCTGTTATGCCAGGAGGAGACGGTTGAGATTCCTACTGGTTGAGATTCGTCTTGTCTTGACCCAGTTTGTGGCCTCTTGTCGCAGTCACCTACCTACCTTTTCAAAGTTGTAACAAGGTAGGGCATAGACTTCTCAGTGCTTTTCTTGCTGTTCATGTGGGAGGGTCAGCTTCTTTGACCTGCTCATCCTGCCATCTTCCAAGGCTTTTCCTTACCATCTCTTTTTACTCTGTTGTAATTTGAAACAATTCTCTAACCTTGTTTATTTATTTATTTATTTTTGTCTTTCATGCCATCAACATGTTTTGGAGAATCCAGGTCAGCTGCAGAATTTCTCTCAATGTAGATTTGTCTACTTGTTAAAAAGTTGTAACTGATCACAGGACATAATCAGACTTCAGACACAGACATATTATGTCCCTTAGTACAATGACAAAGTTTACCTTGAGAAGAGAAATCTTCAAATATTCATAAATTGACAAAATAAGGGCAAGTTTCTCATACTGAGACAAAGAAAGAAAATGGATTTAATAGCTCTGTTTGGGACAAAATTGTCTATTTATTATCCCTGGAGTAAAAACATTAAGTTCTTCATTTCCCAAAAGTCTTCATATCTCAAGTCTCTAAAGCCTGCTGGGGGCAGAGTTTCTTCTCTACAATTCTAACAGATAATATATGGTATTTCTCAAATAAAGGGAAGAGATCTGTTTGTAAGATTAGAGTTAATGAGCTAATGATCCCTAAGCCCTGCCTTTCCAAAAACAGTATCTGAATCCATATTACTGAAAAGGAGACTTGCATATATGAATTTTTTTTCCCCCCCATGGAAAATAACATCAGATATTGAAGAATATTAAAGCCTGGCATTTCCCTGGGAATGCCTTTCTGCAGTCATGATTTAAAAAAAAAAAAAAAAAAAAAATCTAGAACTAAGAAACAGTCTAAAATGTAAACCAAGATTCTTCTTTTCTCACAGATGTGATTTGTCAGCTACAATCAGGAAATCGGAAACAGTTCAGAAGACAGTTTTATAAACAAAATGAACCTCATCTTCAAGATACTACAGATTTGAAGCTTCACTAATATCTACAGTAGACACAACAAATTCAAGGTGATCTGGCTATTAACAATGATCTGGAGGGCAGTGGTGGTTCAGTGTAGAATTCTCCACTTCTGTGTGGAAAACCTGGGTTTAGCTCCCTGCCAATATGCCTCTTGCATATCCACCATCTGTCAGTGGAGGTTTGCACAGTGCTCTGATGCTTTCAAAGCTCTGAACAGGTTTCTTTCAGGAGACCTAGACTAAGACAGACTGGAAAGAAAGGCCTGGAAATCTATCCAAAAACCAGAAATGAAAACTCTTGATCATAACAGTTCAATCTGCAACCAATCATGGGGCTGGCGCAGGACTGGCAGCACTTAGTTCCACTGTGCATGGAGTTGTTTTGAGCCAAGGTGCAACTCAAAGATAGCCAACAACAACGACAAAGACGATCATGACTGATACGTTTTCTCAAAAGAGAGCTGTCCAAATGAAATAAGAAAATGTGAATGCCATCAAAGATAGTTTCTAAAGTCACCAGGCTTCCTATGTACAAAGATATGCTTTTTAAAAACACAAATACCGGAGGCAGGGCAAGATGGCGGACTAAGCAGAAGGATTGCACAGACCCTCTTCAACAAAGAAAAGGGAAACCAATTAACACAGACACAGAAGATAATCTTGG